AACGGAGCATGGAGGTTCACAAAGTGCTGTGCCTGCCACGAATTCTGGTGACGTCTCGGTGTGTGTTGTCACAAAGTGCTGCGCCTGCCACGAAATCTGCACATGGAGGTTCACAAAGTGCTGTGCCTGCCACGAAGTCTGCGCGTCAAGAAACAAGTGAAAACTCTAATCACAATGGAGGAACAGACCGGCGACCACCGGCGCCGACCACGCAACAGCCAGAGCCTCGAACGGAGAGTGGAGGTTCACAGAGTGCTGTACCTGCCACGAATTCTGGTGACGTCTCGGTGTGTGTTGTCACAAAGTGCAGTGCCTGCCACGAAATCTGCACATGATCTTTGTGTGTGTTGTCTCGGTGTGTGTGTGTGTGTGTGTGATCTCTTGTGATCTCTGTATGTGTCGTCTCGGTGTGTGGTGTGGAGGGAGGAGGCGGAGGCGGCGGGAAGCGGGCGGCGGGAGGCGACGGGAGGCGGATGAGACATAGAAAAGAAGAACCTCACACTAAGATGTGGGGAACAAAAACAACAACTCATCTGAGTGTGTGGCTGATTCCAGCACACTTTTTGCAGCCAAAAAACGTGAGACAAGCGCGTCTTTGTCAATCCTAAGTAGGTGCTTTACAACTGTGAAGCAAATTTGGATTGTGAAACCTCTCAAGGTCGAAACAAAAACTCTCTTTGCAGCTGAAGTTCTGGATGATTTGATCGATCTTTGCGTCGGAACTGGTGACAAGAAAAGAAAACATTTCATCATCCTTCGTTCAAGGCAGCAACGGCGCAACAATGCAAACACGCAAGGACAAACATCAAGCAACAACCCTCACGCTTTGATGGCAATCGTTCACTTGATCCAAGTCACCGAGTTGAATGCCAAACCCTGTCCACGAAGGTTGCATTCCTGATAGAGGTTGTAGATCGAAAACCGCTTGAGGTCCTGACGTTTGGATGCAAAATAGCCTGGGTTTCCATGACCTGCAAGAAGTGAACGCAACAGCTGCAGCCGAGCATCAGCCCATCTACCCATAAGGATGTTGAGTCCTCTGATAGTGACAGTGCCGAAGAACCGACCCCATGCAGGAAAAACATCTTGCAAACAACTTCCCCACTTTGTGAAGTGCTGTTGCTTTGAGCTGAGAGTGTCCTGGTATAGCCAGATTTGGCTTTTGTCCGCTTCTTGACTTTACTATTTCTTCTTGGAGGCCTAGGACCTGCGCAGCTTGAACAGACTTTCGAAGTCAGGACTAGGTCACCAACGCCGGCCTGGAGTTTGGCCTCCAGCACTTCTGACAAACTCTCCTGGTAGGCGAAGTTTTGTTTTTTGGTTGCCACTGCCCTCTTTCAACAGTTCCTAGCGTGAACATGCTGTGTGATTTGTATTGTAGTAGTATTGAATAGCAACTAGTATTGACATGTGGAAACACCGCGCTCCGTCGCCTAAGCAGGCTAAATCTATCTAACCAAAACATTGCCGAGCACCATCATACAACCGCAAAGGTGTCAAAACACAAGAATTATACCTACGGACTGAGACTTAGGTATCCCACAGCAAAATTTGCACTTTGAATGCACAGGCTGCGGGAAAAATAGTCTTAGAATGCGTTATGGAAGTGTTTTGGAATGTCAAATCCATGGCCCAAACGCCTGTACATTATTGCGAGGAATTTAACACTTAGAATGCTACGGATATACCATGGTATATCAATGTTCCAATCTCATGGTTTCAGTCCGATTTGCATTGCGATTTTCAACACCGCGGCTAACCCACAGCAAAAAACACCAACAAACCACTGCACATAGTCGAAAATTTAGCACTTATAAGCGAACAAACAATTATATGTAATCATCAAAAGTTTCCTTTTGATTTCCTCTTGGTCCAATTGGCTTTGAAAAAGGTTGAAAATTTCCACGGAGGACAGAAATCTATAAGATCAGATCTTAAGTTGAAGTCGCCACTGCTCCAGGTTCTCCTGCTCTGCAGCATCCTGCTGAAAGGTGAAAAACGGGATGCAGAGCATGGACAGAAGTATAGATTCATGTTCATTGGTTTCACATCTTGTTGGGGACCAAGACCAGACTGGCAAAATGCTCGAACTGAAGTTTAGTTGCTCAAGACCTTCAGCATATTTAGTTGCCCTTGTACAGTATTTTATAAAAGCAAATTTGCCCGGGTTAGAAGATTAGCATGTTCTCTTCGATTTGTTTGGCCTTGAGGGCAAAGAAAAATACAATATCTGGTTAGGGAAGTTCGCCGGAAATGCTCTCGTTGACCTTTTTTCTCATGGTTTCAAGTAACCAGATTTTGCACCTTAAAACGCAACTTCTCGTATAGGATAATAATATAAGCGGAGACCGTGCGTGTTGCTGGTGATTTTTTAATTATTCAGTGTTCCTGCCTGACCTGGCATACGAAGGGTTATCTAAAAGTCTAAAAGCACGCATGCGTAAACGCAGCGCGACGCTGGGGAGCGGGACGATTGGCGGTGTCCGCAGGGCTTGGTCACGCCTGCGGGCGATTCGACAAGTAGAAAAACGCGTGGTCCACTGGTCCACACATGCCGCCTGCGGAACGTAAAGAAAGACATACCGACATACTGAACGTATACGTGTGCGTTTGAAAGCTCCGGGGCCACTTGCCGCTTAGTTTCCGTTCGTGTCTCTGTGAGTCTAAATCCCTGTGTATAGGACTGGAAGTTAAAATGCGACAGCACACCAAAGAGTTAGAATGCCTCGAATGAATCAAGAGGAAATCAATAGGAACTAAAAGGAAAACAATAGGAATCAACATGACATCAGTTGGAGCCAAGAGGAAATCAAAAGGAAGCAACAGGAAATTGATAGGAATGAAAAGGAAATCAATAGGAACCAAAAGAAAATCAAAAGGAACCAAAAGGAAATCACTGGGAAGACTGTGTTTTCTCCCAGGATGGTGCCCAAGATCGCGGAGCAGCGGAAGCTGCGGGGTTGGGCACCAGTGTGCCAGTGGAAGTGGAAGTTCATGCGCGTTATATTTTACTTACACATGCTTGTCTTGCTCAGAGCATGGGAATCATAGTAGAAGACATGAAAGACGTTGTGTGGAGGTGCCGAAGGAGAACGCCGAGAAGCCTGAACCTCCTTTTGGTCACCAGGCACTTCGGCCAATTGGGGTGCAAAGAGTGTGTCAGTGCTGTTGTTTTGTCTTTTGATGTGTTGATATTCCCCTCACAGCTCCGGACAATAGGAAAGCGAATGGTGTGAATGACTTGGGGATGACATTCATCTTCTGAATGTCTTTCTGTTGCCTTTGCTTGCAGGATGCTGGAGATCATGAAGGCTGAATTTGTCTCTGTGAACAGTTTGTAAACAGTGATGCTAGAGGGCTTAGATGGATTTGCATTCCGAAGATAAGGTGCATTCAGGGGGATCGGGATTATCGAAATCATTGCAGATTACGCGACTTAGAATAATTAGGAGGAAACATAAGGGTAGCGACAGTATTTTCCTCAAACCTCTTTTTTTTCTAGGGCCCACTCCGGCATACAGTGTTCGGTAAATAAGAGGTTTCCTAGAAAATCACCAACTCGCGGTCTTATAAAATCCTGTATTGTGAGGTTTTTATGGAATCCTGTTCTTCCTTGTTTTTTTTTCAACTTTTCGATTCTTGTATTGACTCCAACTCGCTTTCCCGCGCGCCACTAGCGCCCCTGCCAAAGGTGCGCGCCGGTGGTGCAGTGCGGCAGCGACCGGACCAGAGGGGTTGGGATGAAAGCAACGTGGTGATTGAGGTGGTCGCAAAATCTGCAGTGGACATGACCCAGCAACATGCGAGCGCGCCAACTAGGAAGCTCTCCTTAATCAATGAACTTCAAAACGGCGCAGGTTCCCTCTTGAAAAGCTATATAACGGTTTTTCCTCCTGAGCGCCTCTCCGTCAGCAGCCCAGTGGGTTGCGGCTACAATTTTTGAGCCGCGCGTGTAACGGCCCAAGTCACATTAAACTGCAGGCGCAAGACACACTTCGAACTTTGTTTTCAGTTAGACTCAATTGCCACGATGGGAAGGATGGCGGTGGAACAGCATGGCGAAAAGTCCGAGAAATTGTAGGTGTTTGAACCATGGTTGTTTCCCTTGACTGCGGTGACGAAGCGGCTCAAGCTGCACCTCTGCTGGGGAGGAAAAGGTTTAGGGGGAGGTATCATGAAAAACCATGGAAACAAACCAAGCAGATTAGACAGCGTGGTCAAAAGTTTCGGTTGCAGGTACACAGGGATGATCAGTCCCTGCTTCCCCTTCTTGTCCACAGCTTCGTTGCGTGTGGTAGGACAAGAAGGCCACACGCCCCTGCTGCATGAAAACGAGGGAGGAAAGTGGTACGTGTCTCAGTTGCAGCGGAAGGTAAGAGAGTGGAAACCCTTAGAATCAGGGTGTGACACACACAGCACGCCGTAATCGGCGCACAGACAAAACGGTGGAAAGGCGGATTCTTTTTTTCTCGCAAAAACCGCCTGCATGCGCGCAGGTCATGCCCTTTTTGGGCATAGAGGTTGACCAAGGCGTCAGCCGCAGCGGTGGCGTGGTGGGGTGGGAAGGTGTATGTGTAGATGGAGTGAAGTCTCGAAGCTAAGCCGGACAGAGCCAAGCGCTGGCTACCGGCGCTGGTGTGGTCCCTGATTTTCCAGGGTTGGGTGGGTTGTATGTAGGTGATGGCGCGTTGTTGGAGGTTGATGTTGAAACCCAACAGGTGAAAATCATCCACCGTCTCCAGTTCGACGGGGTCGCCGAAGAAATTGTTGTGGATGAGGGTCTGAATGGCGGGATGTGAAAGGAATTGCTCATTGTGCACAATGAAACGGTTGTCCACGTAGCGATAGTAGGTGAAGTGGAGGGCTGTGTGTTGCAGGAGATTGTTGTGGAGCTGGTGCCAGGAGTGTTCGATGAGGGTGATGGCAACGTTGCATAGGGCAGGGGAGAGCTGAGAGCCAATCCCAGCTCCCCGGATTTGTTTGTAGGTGTTGTTGCATGCCCGGAAAATGCAGGTGTCAAGTGCGTATGCCACAATGGGTGTGATATCCGCTGTGTGGATGGTGCGTTGTGTGGGGTGGCGTCGGTGGTGTCTGCCAATGTGGGAGTGATGGAAGGGATTGCCGGTAGCTTTGGTGTCCACTGTCAGAGTAGGGGTGTGGTGCTGGGATTGCCATTGCTGAACCAGGGAATGAACGGCGTCAATGAGACGGTGCTGTGGGACAGAGTTGAAGAAGCCCACAAGATCATCATTGGTGGCGTGGAGGGAGATGTCTGGAGGGGTGTCGGTGAGGTAGCAGTGAAAATGGGACCACAGTTGTGGAATGGAAAGTTGACCTGGATGCTGGGGGAGGAGGTGTTGCAGGATAATGTCCAGGCTCGGCTGGTGATGCGGAGGAGAGTGCCGCTCAGGGATTGAAAGTATGAGATGATAGTGCGGCCCTTACGGACGTGTCGCTCAGGGACTGAAAGTATGAGATGATAGTGCGGCCCTTCTTCCACTGCTTCTTCTCCTTGAGGTGGACGATGCCGTAAGGGATTGCGAAATCTTTTCTGAAGCCCCATTTGTAACGTGAGCGGAGGTTGGAGGGGATGGTGTGTGTCAGGTATTCGTGGATATTGGACGGTTGGAGTGCTGGCATAGGTGCAAAGAGTTCCGGTGATTGCCATGTGGCAAGTGCCCCGGTGAAGTATTGGCGGGGGCAGAAAATGCGCAGTTGCTGCAGTTCGTGATCTGCGTGGTGGAGCACGACTTGGTCGCCCAGGAACTCCTGGAGTTGTCGAAGGAGACGAGCCGTGAAGCGGGGTTGGTGTTGCAAATGGTTGGTGTGGAGCCTCCATTGATGTTGGAGGAAGGGTTCCAGGTGCTGTGTAAGAGAGGGTCGGAGGCCTTGAATGCGCAGCCATTTTGTGAAGGCGGTCTGGAAGGAAAGGAAGCATCTGGCCTTGCTGGGGTAAAAGGTGCTGTTCATATTGGCTGCCAAGAAGATGCGGAGATGCGGTGGCAATGCGAGTTGATCAAGGGTAAGAATGTAATGGCTGTCGACAGTGGGTGTGGCTGGATCGAGAAGCAGGGTTTGTAGGTGGGCGCAGGCGCATGGCAGGTCGCTGGAGGTTGGAGGGGTAAGTAGTGTACCCTCCCATGTGCGGTGGTTGTGGAGGTGTGCCCGGAGGGTCTTGTGAGCTGCTTCCCGCAAACGGTGAGTGGGCAAGTGGAGCGGGATGGCCAAGTGTTTATGCTGTTGTATGGTGGTTTTGAGCCACTGCTCACAGTGCTTGGGGAACTGGTCGTGAGCC